ACGCAGTTGCTCAGCCTATCATTCCTAGAATGTTGGGATGCTGGAATGCAAAATATGGAAAACAGTCAGGCTTCTAGCAAATTTTCACTAGCAGGCAAAACAGGGCAAAGTTGAGGCTGTGTTATTTACAAAAACAGCAGAAGAGTCGTGTATATCCATAGCCCCAGGGAAGAGTGTCATGCACTGCAACCAAGGTTTCCTCTCCTCCTCCTCCTCCTTGTTGCTGAGAATGGAGTCCAAGGCCCTTTTCTGACCATGTGCCAAATCTGCTGTGTTTCTGCTGTGCAGGGCAGGTCCATGATCAGCCTCCACAGTACACTGTGTGCTGGCTACTTCTGTACAATGCAAACTTAGATGGACACAGCTTTGTTCAGAGCAGCAGTAACCACCCTCCTTTTACCAGCAATAAAGCAGAAAGCAGTTCACCTGAGCTGGAGATAATGCATTTCTTTAGACATTCCAGTAAGCTGTATTGTTATAGCTGTCTTCAAACCAAGTTGCATCTTGTCTCATCAGGACAGCTTAAGGTAAGTGCTGAGCAGCTGTGGCTATCTCAGGGCAGGAGGCTGAAGGCCTCTCATTGTTGTGCTCAGCCTCTGTCTGTGGGAACAGGGGTGGAGGGGCAGCAGAGGAAAAGGAAACTTAAGCTGAAGTGCTGACTTAAAGCAGCATTTTGTGCCAAGAGCTCAGGAAATTCTGAGTCAGAAGCTGTTTGCTTCCTAGGGTCACGATACCCCAAAAGACAGGGAAGACAACAAAAGTCCTACAATTCTGTAAGCCTTGCACCACAGGCAGAGCTGGCCAGTATCCCACACTCACAGCACCCATCCAAGGAAGGATGCTGGTGGGACAGGCAGAGCCTGCACAGCAGCTGGATAGGAGGAAAACATTTTTCACAGTGCAAGGTGTTAAAATGGAGGACTAGGGCCCCAGGAAGGCTGCATCACCCTGGAGACTGCAGCACTGAAAGGATGAGGCTCTGAACAGCCTTGGGAGACAGCCCCATTTGAACAGGGATAGGACTGGTGACCTCCAGGGCACCCTGCCAGCCTCAATCACTCCACAAGCCCTCAGTAAAAAGCCAGTTTCATACCAGGTTTCAAAGTACAGTTGGTGACTGGAGCATGAAGAGGCCAAAAGCTCTTGAATCAGCATGGAAACTGCCTTTGATCTCAATGGCTTTTATTTTAGGATAAACTTGACCTGCCAGTGTCATTATTTCAGTGAATTATTGACAAACTGTGTCACTGGGTGCCAACAGGTGCTAAATCAGCTCTGTGCACGCAGTGGCCACCCCAGCTGGCTGTTTCTGTGCAGAAGTTGCTGGGTTCAGCAGGTCTCCCTGTTCCTCTCTCTCACACCGAGATCCATTCCTTGTGAGTCAATGAGTGATCATTGCACAACGTTTCTCTGCAAATGAGTGTTTGAAGAGGCCTTGGCTGGGTTGCACAACCCTACTTGGTCAACACCTCCTGGAACACTCCTGTCTGCTGAGAGCTCACATGAGGGCTGGCACATGAGTGACCGCCTGACCGTCTTGACTAACCAGGGGAGGCCACAGATCAGCAGGCTGGGCTGCTTCCTCTTTGCCTAGGCTGCAGCATGAGGAAACCCCATGGAAAAGCCAATGAACAACATCCCATGGAGCCTTTAAAAATGCCCATTTCATTCCCACACATCTTTTCCCAACACTGTTTGAAATGTCAGACACCTGCCCAAAGCAGGGTAGGATCCTGGGCACCAAGGTCCAGAGGAAGGGACATGCAGAGCTGCTCCAGCAATCCCCATGCTGGAGAATCAGTGCTTTGCCAGGGGCACCAAAACAACAGCATGTTTGTTCCAGGCTGTTTCTGTGTGACCCTGGTGCAGGCAGAGCCTGAGTGCCACCACTGAGCTGTGAGCTTGGAGAGGCAGCATCCATCTCTGGCATCCAAATACCATCATAGGGGTCATCATATGCCATCACACATCCCACCCTGCTTTTGGCCAACAACAGGCAAACCTTCAGCACCACACCTGTCTGCCCCAAGAGCCTGCTTTCCAGGGCAACAGTCCAGCTTCACGATTCTCCCACACATTTTACCTTATTCCAAAGACTTTTTACGACAGCTCTTCGTCCAACTCAGAGGATGTGCTCGAGAATTCCTACCACAACATAATGCACAATTTCCTCAAAACTTCTTTCCACTGAAGTCACTAAGAAAGACTTACAAAAACTCTGGAAAGGAGATATGATCAGATGAAATGCAACTGAACCCCCCCCCCCCAAAAAAAAAAAAAAAAAATTGGGACATTTAGTGACCACCAGAAAATGCTATGGGAGGAAATGAGGTGCAGTGCAAAGGACCAAAACATGCCAAAACCAAGCTCACAGATGTTGCAAAATAAGAGAAAAAATCAAGGAGGAAGACAGAACTTTGAGGGGAAGATGTAAGAGACATGGCATGGATACTGAAAAAAAAGAAAAAAAAGCTCATTGCCAAAGTGAAAGCCATCAAAAGGCATGGCATGCCACCAAGTGCAGGGACATGGGCCAAAGACTGCCCAATTGGTTCCCATTGAAATTGCAAGATTACATTTCCCTTCACGAAAGGAATTGAAATTTCATCCAAAATTCCATCTCATATATCAAAATTCCAGCTTATGTTTCCTGACAAGGGACAGCTGTGGCCACGTTACCCCTGTACTTCAGAGATGTATGTTTAATGAAATGTTGCTGGTGGTTTACATGATGGGTCCACACGAGCTAGTTGCCCATAGCCTCTGGGCATGCTGTGCTCTGCACTGAGCCCTAGCTCAGGGATTTCCTTCCAGGCAGCTCACAGCCAGGCACAGTAATTTGCATTAACATCAATAATTTCTGGGTTTGGGAGAGCCACGGCAGCTCTTGCAAATCAAATCAGAGCTTTGCAGTTGTTATGCCAGAGGAAAATGTTGCACGTGCAATTTGAGAAAAGCCCACATAAATTCAAAGGTTCAAGGCACTCCTTGCATTTCAAAACCTGGAATCTGCAGGTCTGATTTTTGGTCTAGACATTAGTAAATTTAGGTCTGAGCCCATTCAGATTACTGTGATTTCACACTCTTTGCACAGGCTCCACTGACCAGCTCTATCCCATACTTCTCCCTGGCCCCAAGGTCCAGCTGGTGACTCAGATGTCCCAGGACACTGAGGTGCTGGAGTGCTTCACTTTGTCAATCAGTTACTTGACCCGGGCGTGTGTAAAGTCCAGTTGCTCTGCAGAAATATCCAGCACATCAGTCCTAGCTTATTTCCTTCCAGGTTTCTATTTTAACCTCTTACCCATCAGATTACTTTTGGGTAATTGACTCATTGACTGTGAATGTTATAATATAATGATAACCTGATCAGGCCAAGGATCAGGGGAGCATCAGGGGGGGCCCCAATCCTCCCCTGGACATCCAGCACATTCCTGGCAATGGGGACAGGCTGGGGGGCAGGGTGAGGGCAGGGGAGCTGGAGACCACTCCTACTGCAGCATCACTGGGGCAGAGGCTGACAGACCTGGGGGGCTGAAGTGGGGTCCTGGACCATGTGCAGGGCGGGGAAGCACTGGGGAGGCACTGGAGACAGCCACACCTGTGTGAGTGTCCTCAGAGCCCTGACAGCAGCATCAGTTCCCAGATCAGCACTAGAAACTTGTGTCTCAGGTTTAGCCCCAGCATCCCGAGTGCTACCCTGAGAGCAGCCCAGGCTCCCAGCAGGAGCACACAGCCCTGCAGGAGGGTGATGGCAGCATGAGGGAGGGCTTCAGCTCTGGCATCCTGCAGACATGCTGTCCAGAGGCAAGGCAGAGGTGCCAACAGCTGCACACAGCAGAAATAACCATGACTGCGGAGTCAGCTGTGCTGTCACGCACGGCAAGCTCTGCACATGATATCCTCAAAACCAAGATTGCTGTTATTCACTGTTCCTCATTCTTGGGAATTGTCCCTTCCCAAAAGATGTGCACACAGCCATGCTGGCAGATGTACAGAACTGGTTTGCTATCTATGCAGATTTGGCTACAGCTGGGGCACGTAGGCATGGACATTTATTTCAAGCCCCGGAGACTGAGAGAGGGATCAGCTTTAAGTAACACCATTTTATCCTTGGAGCTTCAGGGATAAGGCAGAGACCTTGGGCAACTTGGCCCAAGGTGCCCTAAATCTCTTTTGAATGTTATTGGGAGGAAACAATAGCAAGTCTGAGTTGCACCTTTTTGCAATCAGAGCTTTGCTAATCAGCTTTGCTGATTCCAAGCTGGGGGAGCTGCACTGGAGGTTACTGGCTTCCTGCATGCATACTGGCTTCCTGCACCCAGTATTTTGTGTTTGCAGTGGGAATCTTGCCTGTGTGAAGGCATCCAGAAGACACAGACAGACCTGTCTTGCAACTAAGGCTCCTGTTTCCATTATTCAATCCTGAAAAATTGTTTTCAAATTCAATGAAATGAATTTTTGCATTGATTCAATACATTCTGTAGGAATTTGTTTGTTCAGAGAAATTTAAGTCTGCAATGACTGAATGACTTAAAGCACACATAGAAAGGAGAATTAGAAAGTTCTGTCTGCAACAGCCTGAATTTATTAAAGTAATAACCTGGTGGGAATTACAGCTAGGATAACACTTGTGAAAATGACAGCCATGTAAAAAGGGATTGGTATTTAATTCTAACACCTTTTGACTTTCAAATTTTAATCTTGTTTGATACATTGGGCAAATTATTAAGTTCTTTACAAAGGCTTATTTTAAAATAATTGCACCATATCAGACATTAAAATAAATATACAATTAACCAGACACTAAGAAACAACCAACGTGAATAAAACTGCTGTACATGTAAAACTGATGGTGAAGACTTTGAATCTTTAGGAAAAATGCATTGATGAAAATGCCTATGCTACCTGGTTTGAGTGACAGATAGAAGGCAAAAAATATATTCTTAGTGAAAGTACAGGGTCATCTTGCACTGTTTGTAATTATGTGGATTTCAAAGGCAAAGACGTTGTTGACAGCAGGACAGAGATGGAGCTCTGCTACAGGTGGCAGCCCTATGCCACTGAATACATCAGACAAGACCCAGTTTATTCAAACTGGGTGAACAGATACCATAAAGCACAAACACAATCTTACCTCCAAACAGATTGAGGTGTGTGCAGGCCTTTCAAAGGCCTTGTGCACAGATGTGATTCACACCTGCCATCGTTTATTATAAAGTAAATGTCCACTTTTTTGCAAGATCTCTGGATTTTCTCTACTGTTCATTTACATTCTGCAGTGTTGGCTGGTTGCAGCTGAGAGGTTCTGAGGCTTGACACTTCAAGTTTTCCAGAGGATGAGTGTTCTCCTGAATGTTCCTTTTACTTCTGCAAATGACCTCTACCGAGAAATGCCGTGTGTTCAGACACCATCTAGCATTAGCCCATCTGCCCTATGTTGAAGACCACACTCCAGAGAACTCCCAAGGTTTGCAGATACCAGAGGATCTCACAAGGTAAATTATCCAGCTCTTCCAGGATGACAGCAAAGATAGAAAAAAAGCAGCATGGCCCTTAGGAAAAGTCTGACTCTTTGACAATTTGAACTGGTGGGGTTTTATGGTCAATTGGTTTATAAATAAAATGGAAATCTTTCTTGGTTTCACTCTTCAGAAGGGAGGCTTTGATGTGGTGTGGAAGGGCATCTTTGTCCAGCTGCAGCCACTGGTCATCAACATAAACAAAGAGTCCATAGTCCTTGGGATGGGACACTTCAAACTTCTCGGCACACTGCTGGCTCAGCTGCTCAGCTGTGGTATCGTGACGGGAAGCAAGGGTCCTCGACTGACCACTGATTTCCAGAAAGGAGATACAGATGAAATCCTGAAGAGAAACAGGAGGAGAGACCTTGCAGTTAACAAAGTAACCTAGGACTGAAGGAGGAAGAATTCAGTCACAAAGCTCTAGCTGCCTAGAGCTCCCAAATATCCTCCAGTCATTCTCCAATGTCCTAGTTATTCTCTCCTTTCTTCCCTCTGTCAGGCTCTGAATCAGCAAATACTTTAATAAGCACTTTACCAAATAATTAGCACCATAAAGACACTGAAGTTAAAGCACTTTTTTCTGATTTTACTGAATATCCTAAGAGAACTATCTGCAATGGTTCATTCGCCCATCTTTTTACAGCTCCTGAAGAAAGGGTTTGCAAAGAAGTGACAGACAAGAGAAACAGACCAGAAATGTCAGAGATCTGGCCTGAAAACCCTCTGTTTCCCAGAAATGGGATAGGGCTAGCAGTGTGGTGGCCTTGCAACTTCACAATCACCCAAACAGCATCTTGAAAGTGTGCCCTCTGAACTTCCTTCCATCAGTAAGGAAATAGCAGAAGTTATGCTGAGAAGGCTGATTTACTTGTATCCTGTTTCAGGCAGTAACAACTGTTGTGACAGCTTTCATCTTGCCAAACACACAAGGAACAGACTCTAGAGAGCTTTTGGTCACAGTGGAACCTGTGTGTTTAATTTGCATATGTGAATTCCAAAACAAATCCCATTCTGTTCAGAAAATAGTGAGGATCCCTGGCAGAAGGGGAGTTTTCAAATGCATGGACTATAGGCTTCCAAACTGCATTTAAGGAGTATCACTGCAGTGGATTGAGGCAGGCAGAAGGATGGACAGAGCCCTGCTGAACATATCAGCAAGTGGTTTAGCTTTGCCAGAATGGGCTTTCATGTCTGATACTACCCCTCATCCAAAGGGGTGGAAAATGGCCCTTCAGCTGCTGGAGGTGGCAGGAATCTTCTGGGGAAATGTGTCATTTGCTTGCTCAGCTATTATGCTCCATGCTAGGTACTTCTATGAGCTACTGCTGCCAGAGCAGCACTCAGGGCTGGATAGATATTTGCTGTATCTCATACACCGTTCCTGGTTTCTGAGATCATCAGGGACTGGTTGGACTGCAATATGGGAAACCTCTTCAACTCCACGCTTTCACATGGACTACCCTTCCCCATAGGAGACTTTTCCCTGGCTTTCCCCTCGGCATGCACAATTTTCAGTTCTGCACAGTGAAAGCACTACAGAACACGAGACGTGGCCTTTGCTGCCTCCCTGTGGGTGATAATTTGATCACAGCACATGGGGCTGGCCGGGTATCCTGCCTGCCTGGACCAGTCTCATCATGGCTGGAGGCCCAAAGCACTCATCTGTCCTGGGACCTTCTCCCACGGGTGCACAGGAGATCTTTGCCAGGCCATGCACAGCATGGGCTTCAAAACTGACCCGACCTTGATGGGTCTTTCTTGCTGCCAGACAGGCTCTGGAAGATGCTTGACTGACTGGTTCTTGGGATGTCTCAGACCCCCCTACAGCTTTATGCCATCTAGAAGCAGCCCTGCATAGCCTGCTCACATCTCAGTTTAGCCCATGATTTCCCCAGGCATTAAGGGCGATGATTAAGAGAGGCTTCTGAGTCCCCACCACAGCTCCTGCATGCAAAGGCTCCTAGCACACCTCCTTTGAAAATGAACAGAAAAATCACTTTGCAGTTATATTTAAAACTACAATATTATAAAGGTACTTCAAGATTTCAAAATTTATTTTATAGGTAGTATGTATTTCAAATGTGATGTGTTTTAAGATCTGGGGACCTTGTCCCAGATGTGCTCTCCTTTTTTAATAGTGATTTCAATTAATTTCATTTAAAAATGATTACCATATTAAAGATTTCTAAGTATGGAGAAAGCAAGCAGGCTTTTCCCCTAGGATATAATGCTGGCTACCTGCACTGAGGAGCGGGAAGCCCGGGCCTTGTTCAGCGTTCTCCGTCGCTCCCAGCGGTGGATGGAGTCCTGAACCTCCATGCTCAGCTGCCGTGTCACAGTGATTTTGTCATAGTTCTTGATGTGCTCCAGGACCCCGTAGGTGGTGGTTAAATAATAGGAGCCTGCAAAGGGTAGGTGGTGGTTAAATAATAGGAGCCTGCAAAAGGTGAAAGTCTTGCATGAACACCACACCTTCATGGGCCATTCGGTCCCGCTCCCACCCTGCCCACTCAGGGCAGCTGTCTGAGCCTTGCTGCAGGGAGTGCAGGGGTCACTGGTGTCACCCAAGTGAAGGACACCCTGTGACCAGCATCCTCCAGCCCCTCCTGCTCCACATCAGTGCTGCCCCCCAGACTACTACAGCTGTAGATGTCCTGGGCTGAAAGGAAAGAGCTATAAAAACTGCTTTCACAAACAAGCCCTAGCCACAGATGATTATTCTTTGGGCCACAGCCATCTTTTTGTTGTGTGTGATAGGGCCCATGCAACAGGTCTGTAACTTGGGCTCCTGAGCAGTCCCCACGATGCAGGGAAATAGAAATAATAGTAAATTACTGCAGGACAGGCACAAAGCCTGGATCCAGCCCCCAGCTCCAGCTGCACTACTCTCGCATGTTTGGATTTCAGGGCTCCTGTTGAGGGATGTCTCACACCTGCAGGAACAAGTCATTCTCTGTTCCCTTTATTCTCTACTGACTACGCAGGCACCTCAGGCATTCACCTGTAATCCCTGGACTGTTCAGGGCCGCGGGATAAATCTTGGTGACGCAGAGAAACAGGGCAAAGTGGCAAAAGCCCCTTTTGCTCAGAACCCCGTGCACGGCTGCTGTGGCGCTGCTTGCAGCAGGAAATCAATGACCGACTGCAGCCGCAGGGCGGCAGCTGGGCCCCGATAACAGCCGGCTCAGCTGCAGGTGAGCCCTGGCAAGGACAGACACGCTGCTCTGCTGGCAGGGCAGCCCCGAAGCAGGGCTCATGAAGGGCTGGCTCCCTCAGCTGGGAACGGGAGGCTCGGGCCCGGGCTGGGGCAGCGTCAGCCCGCGGAGCTGCAGGACAGGGCCATGCCCTGCTCCGGGCCCGGCACCCGGTGCCTGCAGACGGGGACAGCTGACGGCTGCTTCGGCGGAGTTTTACCCCAAGAGCAGTACTGTAAATCAAAGGTGACTCCGACATTGGTGAGGGAGAGAGAATGATGCATCTGACTCCATCACCAGACGGCTAATTAATCACTTTATTATACTATACGATACACATTTCATCTAAACTGAATCTGCCAAGCACTCAGTCTGCACACACCCTGCTCACACTGCACTGAATCTCCTGACTGTCCACCCACAGTCCCGATACACACATACACCTAGCCCTGACAGGCCAAGGGAACAAAACACCATCACTTTGGGTAAACAATCTCCATATTGCATTCTACTTTGGCATAACACAGGCTCAGCAAGTGATAACAATTGTGTTTTCCCTTTCTCTGAGGTTCAGAGAATGTGAATCTCAGAAATCCTTGGGAAGAATTGTGCCTTGCATTCCTCTGAGAAGAGAAACGTGGCAGCACCGCAGGGCCTGTAGATGGCCCTCGCACACAGCCCAGCCCAGCCCAGCCCGTCCCTCACAGCTCGCGGGCTCCCCGGCGCTGCCGAGCAGTGTCAGCCCTGGCTGCTCCAGGGAGGCAAAGACAGCGCTTGATTCAAAAGCAGCGTTTTTAGAGCACCATGAGAGTTTTCTGTAGGAGAGGAGAGACCAAGACGCTGCCATTTGACTTCCTGTGCTCTAATGGATCGACAAGGAGTGTCCTATGGTTTTGAAGGTTTTTGCCCAAACCACTCATTTTTCTTTAATGTCTCCCTCAAAGAGGTGCTGAGAATAGGCTAAGAAGTCTAAAAGTGCCACTTTTCTCCTCTTAAATACAGTTACCATCCTGTCTGTCATTCAATATTTCTCCTCTTCTGGCTGAGTCAGAGGTAGCTGTGATGGGAACAGGGTGTATCCCTTCCCTCAGAACTCTGCGAGGAAGAGCCACGAGTCCCCCCCCCCGCCAAAAGGAATTCATCACAACTTTTTTAAGAATTAAGTTTTTGCCCACTGTCAATTTCTTAATTTCCATCCAGTTGCTCCCTACAATCTGTCCTTGCCTTTGGTCCAGCATTCATGCATCACCACTGCTATTAAATTAATTCAAAAGTGTATGCTTAATTTGGAGGCAAGATTGATTTTGTATATTGATTTATGCAATTTCACCGGTTTTTTCACTTCTGCTTTACTTCTTTCCCTTTAATTTCTGTACTTGAACACTTTTTGCTATTCAACTTTGAAAGGCCTAACTCAAGTTAACTTTTGCCAGTTCTACACTTTGCAGTCTCAGAGCAGTCTTCACTGAGATATTCTTTTTTGACCCTCATTCCTCATATTTGCAGTTACTCCTACTGTCCTTTCTGATGTGATTATTCAGTCAGTTTGATTTGGAACTCCCTCACAAAATTTTTTCTTTTGACTGGAGTGCTCATTTCACAGTCTTTGAGCTAAGAGAACTTCCAGCCAGCTTTGCTTTTGACATCCTGAGCTCCCCAACCCAGATGACTTCAGTAACCAGCCTGGTAGTGTGCCCCTTTGAAATGTAGAACCTGTGTGCAGAGTAGTCACCAAAAGCAGCTTGGTTATGTCCACAAAATACTGTCCTTCAGCTAACATTTTTGTCTGCTAAGAATTCTTTTCAGCAGAAAAACTAGCCTGTGCAGAAACACCTTACTAATGTACTGTATTGCTACTAATCATCCTATTAGTACTTACTTTTGTCCCACTCTGCACTGTGCTGGGATGACATGTTTAGTTTCAGACTTATATCCTCATTTAATATAAATAAAATTAGTCTGCTGTTGTTCATCCAGGACTCCTTTCTAGAACCTCAGTACTTACCAAAGTCTAAAATAAACTATTTTATTGGTTTAGTGACCACTTGGTGATAAATGATCTGTGTTCCTAATTCAGAGTGTGTAATTGTCACTTGGGAAGCATGTGCTTTCCAAGCTATATTTAAGAAACTGGAGGCCCACTGGGGTATTTATCTTTCTGATAACAGAGTTCTTTGGTCACTTCCAAACTCAATATTCCTCTCTAACCTAACTTTATTTTCTCTGTCTCACTATGATGCTCAGTCAGAGAACATTGTCAGAAGGTTCACTCAAATTTAGGAGTAGAGTGACCATGAGAATATAGCCCTCAGGCATATAAAGCAGTTTAAGAAATGTGCTCTTTTCTCACTGGAATAAATAAAAGTATCTGCACAATTTTTTGCAGCAGCTGTTTAATTTTAGCAAAAACCTTCCAGCTTTTCAGCCTTTGGGCCAAGTGACACAAGATGTCTCTGTTTAGGTTGCTAATCCACCACCTCAGTTATCATTTATGGTGAGTCCCTGCCTTTTCTAGCTAAAAGGAGTTAAAGTACTTGGCAATAATTTTAGAGATTCAGATTTGAAAAGATTGGCCAAAGTATTATCCACAAAATCTAGCCAGAGCTTTGCTGCCCCACTTTCACAAACACTGAAGTGAGACAAAGGATGATTTCCACAGTTAATATCCCATGAGCAAGCTCTGTACTCTTACCTTCTCCCAGCTGCAGAGCAGGGTCCATGAGCTCCATCATATACTCCACATTCAGAAGGACTTCAGTCAAGTTGCTGCGGGCCAGCACATACATGAGCACAGGGAGGAAATCATCTGCACCATAGGGCTTCCCTGAGCAAAGAGAAACACAGCATGGTCCCAATAACACCAAAAAATCATGGTCCCACACAACAGTGTCAGATTCTCACACACTGAGTCCTTTGCAGACTTCAGCTTATGTTACCTGAAGAGTTACAGCTCAAAAGCACCAGCAAAAATGCTGAAAACAGAAATTTAGGTCACTTAAAAAGTAAGTAAACTTGCTTCAAGCCCAAAATAGGATGTTGAAAATTAACTGGAGAAATATAAACTTAACTTCATTGATGACAAACAATTGGCAATTTTTGAAGAGTTCAAAGGCTTCCAGCTTGTCCCTCTGATTTGATACTGACATCAAGACTGCAGTTCAGGCTGGCAATATTAGTAGGGAAGTTGCCTACATGCATTAGGGGTATTTATTCTCATAGACTTACTCTATGTGTGATACCAAAAAACAGAAAATAGAATTTGAGACAGTGGTTTTAGGACTGGGGAATTCTGTGTTTATATCCCTTTAGAAGGCAAAACATCACACGACATGATCCTAATTAAAACAGTTGCCCAAGAGCTGATCCAAGAGGAATCATCTTTCTAACTATGCTGTCTAGCTAGGAAAACAGAAAGATTTTTACATTGGACTTTAACCTAGTTTTTGAAATTGGTGTACAGCAGATGCTCAATATTTCTTGTGCTTAAAACATTCATATCAACTAAGTTAACAAAGTGATCTAACAGTCTATAAGAGCTCTTTGGGATCTCTAAGAACAAAAAAAAAGCATGTTAAGTCACAATTATAAATAATTACTACTTAAGATAGTATCCAAACTGAAGCTTCCTTGCATAAACCACAAAGCGCACAAGGATAACTTTTTTCATTTGAAAGATACTTTCACTTTCAACCAACATGTCATAAAATCATCATGGAAAACCCGCAATAGCAAGTTTTTTACCAGACCAACCTTCAGAGTTGACCACTCCTCTTAACCTACTCTGCTTTCATTCTGAATGTCTTTCCCCAGACTGTGGGGAGTTTTTTCTCCCCTGTGCACTTGGATATGTTGGTTTATGGACTATGCGTGTCTCAATTGAGAACTGCTTGTCTCAGCTCAAGGAATCAAAGCTAACCTTGATGTAGTTTTGGTGAAATTATGCTCTAGCCATTTTTGGCCCATAGCACACATGCTCTTCCATGGTAGGGCATACATTCCTATTTCTCAAATGTTCCCACTGACTTGTTTCAAATATTTGCCATGAGTCAGATTTCTTTTTTTGTCATTCATAGCTGACACAGATTCTCCACTGGCAAAGAAAGATATTCTTCTGAAGCCTCAAATAAACATGAGCTTAGTCCCTGATTTTAAAAAAAAGTGTGCCTTTGAAATAAACCCAGTAATACATCTAGTGAACAGAGAGTTGATCCATTTAAAACAAAGAGTTAGAGAATGAGAGATCATCAGGGCAGTAATTCAGTCTGTTTCTAACAGAGCCCACACATGCCATAACAGACTATTTATTTAATGAAAGCTGGATTAACACTTTCAATTCTGATTGCTTTGTTATGGCTGCCTTTAGTTAAAAGACACAGCCTTAGGTCTTCAATGAAACTATAAATGGACTTCATTGTTCCATTAACATCTGTATGGACATTTTTTTGTCTGTTATTCCCTTGGCTTATGTCTCTGTGAAAGCTTTAGCTCTGTGAAGAGTCTAACTCATTACTGTCATATACATTACCTTAATGCAAGCAGCTTAGTGTTACAGCTGTTTAATATCTTCTAGGGGGAAAAAAATAATTAAAAAAAAAAAGAAATATGACAAAACAGACATGAAAATGTAACAGAAAATCTTCTCAGCAAAAAGCCCTATTTTCTTTTTGCTCCAAGTACATCAGAGGCCAACAGAGTTAGTTCTAATTCAGACTAGCATAAAGGAATACAAGATACCAAAGACTTGTTAGGCTCATTTTTCCCTTCATTAAAAACTTCTTATTTGTGGTGTAGTAGTTACAGATCAGTGGCATGGATAGAACAATTCTAGTTTCCTTAAGGCCAAGGGATTTCCAGTGTAATACCAATAGCAGAATTTCCCTACCACTTCTCTTTCATGACTAATTCATGTCATATCTGATAAGGGCATCAAATAAAATTGCTGCTTCACAATATCAATTCTTATTCACTGGAAAAAAAACTTCTGAGTTGTTTGTTTGTTTGTTTTTTGCTTGGTTGGTTGGTTGCTCGGTTGCTGGCTTTTTACATGTCACCAAAGCAGATCATGAGCAGAGAACAGACTGACCAACTAATGCAGGATGGAAACAGCAGCTTGGAACTAAACAATTCCATGTCCCCATTCACCAACTTCTGGTGTCTACAGAAGTGAAAGTTAGAGGAAAATTCTCAAGAATGCCTACAAAATCTCTCTGTTTCTTTTATGTTGTCTGAGAAGTGGTTGTAAGTACAATCATGTATAGAGACAATTCTTTTTCATGCTGTTTATCTCATTTCTATAAGCTGATTTAGCTGCTCTGCCCTCCAGTCCTTGCTATAAACTCTTCTCAACTTAAAGACTTCATAGAAATATTACTGGACTTCCAGCTGTTTATATGCCTTAAATATGAAAATCTGATCTACAGATTAATAATGCTGAGTAGGGATGACTCAGGTCTGACTGAAATAATGGAAAGAACACATGTTCCGTGTCCTGTATGCTCACAACTTGTGTGAATTACTAGACACCACGTTAATCCACCTGTGGCTGTATGTCACCCAATTTTAAATACCCACATCCATAGCAAAAGCTGAAGTCAGCAGGAGCAGAATGTGTCAACAAGGGAAAAGCAAAACTAATCACCAATGATCTAGCTCTGACTCCATTCTGTGTTTTTTTTTTGTGTTGCCACAAGCCTCCAGTGTGGCCAAGGGCAGGCCAGGCACGGTATATTGCACCTTGTAGGCATCTCAATAGCATCTCTCCCCTGAGTGCTCCTGGAGCCAAGGAGAAGGGCCTGAGAGGGCAGGGCTCTGATTGTCCACTGATCTCCTGGCCCCTCCAGGTACAGGGACTAGCTTTGACAAGTACAGCCATCAGTCCAAGTGTGGCCCTGAGGTGCTCCATATCTCAGTCCATCCATGGGGAAAATAGGTGCTGTCAGCAACTCAAATATGCCCAGAAACAGGAGTCTACAAAGACAGATGAAATAATGCCTATGGACCAAGACACCTGAGAGGTTGTTTCAGCACTGTATAACCCCCATGGTTCCTGTGCACTAACAAGTGTCCATCTGGGAGCTGCAGCAGAGGTATTCTCTGCAGACTGCTGCCTCCTCAGCTCTACTTTCAAGCTGGGCCTGAGCCAAATTCCTAGACCTGTATGGCTTGCTCCATCTGTGGTCTCTCACAGAGGGGAATTTTTGCAGCTGACAGAGTTAAATCTTGCTCTGACCCTGCCACTGCTCTCAGTGACAGTGAGACTGAGCTTGCCTATTCAAGGTGGTGCTGTCCTACTCCAGATATGACTTGCTTGCTTCATTTCCCCTTCTTCCCTGCAGGGTCAGGAAACATTTATTTCATAAATATCTCTAAGAAGCTTAAAATAAGCCTTCTCTTCTGCCACAAACTCATCCTATTATGTTTATAGCAAAGCAAGTACAACGTCAGCTCCTGGCTGGGATGCAGCACTTGAATAGATGAGTATTAATTAAATACATGATTTAAAGCCACTGGAATTCTGCCCAAGCCTCCATAAAGAAATTACAGTCTATTTTAACACATTCATGCATTTCTTTTCTCTCTGTGTATATTCTAAAAACCAGCAGATAGGGGTGATGCCCTGCACCTTTCTCTAATATTTTACAAACACCAGCTTGATGTCTAGAAGCAGATCTCCACAAAATATGAATTTTAGCCTCAGTTTGAAGCTGGGAAACCTGAGGTGCAGGAAGGCTAACTGGGATTTGTTCAAGATCATAAGAAAAGATTGTGACTTTCCTTCCACACACTAGCATTTGCTGTCTCTTGTCTATCCTATAGTACTTTCAGCAAGGTTTAATTTGTGATATAGTGAATTAAGTGAGTTAATAGATGTAGACAGCATGAATTCACTTCAAAAATGTGTGGTTTAGAGATCAGAGGAATTCAGTCCCCATGAAAAATTCGAACTGGCTCTTTGTAGAAATTTTGCTAGATGGCAGAACCCTCAAAATCTCTAGTCCATCACTCTTTGTTAAAAGTAACTTAAATACTAATATCCTCTTTTGAAAGATATCAAAGTAAACCTATTATGTATAGCTTTATTTTCCTTCTCAGAAGTGAGATATGATAATAAGCAGTGTAATGGGATTGCTCTGACAGCTTTAGGAGCTTCTAGCACGGGCTCTTCACTGGCTGCTGAAGTATTGGAGTCCAGTTTCCTTTCCACAAGCTCAGCTATCCCACTAAAGACACAGCTCTGCTTTTGCCAACTGCAGAGCCTTGAAGGAGTACATCAGGGCAGCTAATATTTGGCTGCTGAGTTCTGTAGGGGTGACAAACTTCATTCTAAAAGCTAAGGAAGAGAAATATTCCAATGGATATATGTCCTATCTATCCTCTTTTTCCAAAAGCAGACTATGCACATTATCCTTGTAAAACTCTGCAATAGAAATTATTAAATCAGATGTTTTGGTCACCTAGCCAATTCCATGACTAGTACAAACTATAGTTTTGAACTATATGGTCCAGCTGCCTGTGCAATTCAAAGATAGTCCAAAAATGAAGCTTCATAATCTTAGGTAGTTCGCAAGTTAGAAATGTTGCAGTAAGCAAATTGTACCTCCATTCTTCTTCAATCTCCTTTGAAAGCAGTTTGCCCATGTTTCAAACTTCCAGGCTAAACTTAGAACTTTTCCATCCCTGATCTTCCTCACTCACATGCTGACCAGATTTGGCCTGTTTGTCTCACAGACTGGCACCATGAACCAATGCCTATTGCTGCTTTGTTTTTCCATCAGTTCTCTTCCACAGTGGCAGCTCCCAGGCAGCACAAGGCTGGGTGACCCAGGCACACCACTGCCAGTACACACCACATGTATTGCACATTTGCATTGCACCTCACTCTACAGGTGTCACTTGTGTTTTTGATGAGAAGCAGAGATTCTCATTCTACCCATATCACACAATATACATTTAATCTTTTTCCTGAGTAAAGGTATTTCTGAAAGACACATAACAAGCATTTTTTCTATATAACATTACTATGTTTCTACATAAATTGGCTATGTGCCCAGCTGTCCCTGTGCATATTGCAGCATGCCTTCCAAATGCAAGATCTCCATGATGCCTGCCTCTTACTTTCTCTAGTGCTAAAAAAATAGCCAGTCATTTTGTGGAGCGTGGGTTTCCAAACTCTATTTTTTAAAATGCATTTTATTTTTACTAACCATTTCTAGTATTTTTAGCAGGCAGGTGACATATTTTCAGATTGTCGGTTATATTCTTGGGGGCATATGTTTCAGTCATTTAAGTTTGCACAGAAGTTGGAAAAGCTCAATACTGTCATAATTGTGCCTTTGATGAGGATTCACTTACTAATATCACTGCCTACGTAGTACATATGAGTATCTGAACCAGGGCCCCTTAATTTCTTTGATAGCCAGTAATGAATTAATCAATATATTCACTGGAGTTTGCCTTGAGTCATCTTGCTCTAAAGCAGAAGCCTATATGCAGCCAGATGAATCATCTGGACTCCATGGACTGACTGCACAATGTGTGTGATGGGAGGCTGGTCATGATACCCCTCTGTGGCCACCTACAGCAGGATGTAGCCAGAGATTGGTCCTGCCTCAACTCTATCATGGAGCTGTACTCTTGAGAGAAATGTGTATGACTAAGACTGTGAAGCTGCCTTCCTGATTCCTTGTGATGAATCACTTCCATAAGCTGATTGCCTTCAACTTGAGGAAGAAATGCTAGCTTAAACCAGTTTAGGGTCTGACCCATTCAGTTCTTAGTCTTAAGTATCAGAGATTTCAACCACAGCCAATTTATCAGGCAGATTTTTCATGTAATATGAATTGTAATCAAACCAAAGACATCCTCCTTTCTTAAAATGTCTTGATATACATGGAGTCAGTCAAGGCAGACTTTAAAATTTCATGACTCTTTCAGCAGGGCAAATATGAGCACAACTACAGGTACAGATGTTCCTGAGCATGCTTGTCCTTAGTTTTAAAGGAAACTTGGTATCTCTTGGGACATCCTGTCCAAACCTGGAGTGCTGTCCATGGGTCTCAAAATGTTAAAAAACTTGTATTTTCATATGAGTCTGAAAAGAAAAGGTGCTTGATTAGCTGGTGTTGGCATTTTGCTTTGAGAAGTAAAACCATATTTGTAGGTCAGCTCATCCTGTGGCCAGCCTAAAGTGAATAAAACCTGGTCTGACCTGCCAAATTGCAAATTAAGTCAAACACAAGGAGTTTCCATGTTATTGAACAGGTAAAGTTTCCCACAGAGGTAGACTGATTTTGGGAATTATTTGTTTTGTGTTTCACCTGCTCTGATCTTGGAAAAGGAGGGATCTTTCTAATTGAGCAGTTAGGAAAAGGAGTGAAAAGGAGAAGAAACTATTGCACAGGAAGCTGAGCATGGCCTCTGCTCTTCCTGTGTGAAGAACACTGTGCTGCCTCATGGCTGGCTAAAAGCAAAAGGGGCCCTGTGCTGTTGCTCTTGAGATGGGCAGAGAGCAGGAGATTTCCCACCAGCTGAAATCTGCTCTGAGGACCCCACAGCATGCTTTTCCCTGTCATAAAAATATTTCAGGTTGCTGAAATATTTCAGGTTCCGCTCTTTGCCACTGGAAAATAAAAGTGTCATGGGTTCAGTTCATTCTGTGGAAGGGATTTCACACATTTTGCTTCTAAGTCTCCAGGGCATTTCACTCAATTACTCTCCAAGTCTGCTGTTTTCCAGGAGTTAGATACAGCATTCTTCTCCCCTTAGCTTCTTTTTCAGGTCTGAATTCATTGGGGTACATTTCCAAAATTCCAAGCCAGTTTTCTTCTGGCCAAGCCCTGACATGCATCACTGATCATGCATAAGAGAGAGGGAACTTGATATAAGGGAGAGGGAACTGGATGCCCAGGAGTAAAATCAGCTTCCAACCTACACCCTGCTGAGTAGTACTCAGGATGAGAGAACAGCTGAACTGGCTGAAATGCACTGCTTTGGTTAGTGTGGCAAACCACACTGAAACCATCTAATTTCATGAATGTCAATATTTTAATCATGTTGGGGTTTTGTAATTATTTCCCTGTCTCCTCATTTCTGTTACAGAAATTGACACAACAGTATTTCCTTCAACAGAAAAATTCCAGCCCTGAGCTAACTAAGGTGTGATGTGTACATAACACCAGCATCAGAAGGAGACCATGTGGGTTTTAGTGAGGCTTGCAAGTCCTTGATCTAAACCAAATTTATTCTCAAACTTCACACAACTGTTTTAACAAAGTCACAGCAAATTCCCCTACATATGTCCAAATCTCATGATACCTGAAGACAGTGAGAGGTCCTTTCCACCCTGTAGCTAAGGCTCAGCCCTGGGGTGGTTTCTTGCTGTGGTGTTAATGTGTCTGGACTGGTAGCTGAACCTTGCTGCTTACTATCCAAGAGATCACCTTGAGGCGAGGCTGAGCAGGGACATAACAATCCCTGTGTGAATGCTCCAAGGCTGTTGCCAGTACAAAATAAAGCAGAACAGCTAAAAGCACCTTTGGTGACTGACTCCTTAAACAACCACAGGTTATTGCAAGTTAATACCTAGCTTCTCTCCAGATTCAGGCATGGCTGGTCATCAGCTCACAGTATACAAAAAAAGCTCTTAAACTGGCAAAGCAAATTTCTGGAGGAAGGGACTTGCTGGTCTATCTGCAAAAATGCATCCTGTCTGCAGGCCAAGGGTTTAATTTCTGCATTCATGGTTGGCCTGAGGCCCATGTTGTGTTTATACTCAGAGCACATACTGCCTTGGACAGAAGAAGTGGCTTTTAGAATTTACTGGAGCATCAGGAATTAGCAACAAACTACTACACTCTACATCTCCTCCTCAGTTTAGGCAAAACTCTGCAAAGGTCAAATCAAGAGCTTTTTACCAGAGACCCATTCCTAGAATTTACCATTACTCTGCAGCAAGCCGGGACAGAGCCCCTAGGATATTTGGAGAGCTGTGTGAAGATCTGTGCAAAAAGGATATTATCCATAAAACACACACTTATGGGTAACTAGTTTTTGGAGTTATGGAGCTTAAAGTTAACCAGGTAACCAGTTATTAGTGCAGAGAACTTCACTAACCCTTCAATTTTGGACACAACCTGTGGACATCTGATACCAAACACATCAACCACCACTGTTACCTCCAATGTGAATATTGTCATGCCAGCTGTATCATAAGCACTGTTCCTTTGATACAAGGAGAAAGACCCCTGGTGGATACCATCAGCAGGAGTCCTGTACCTGGATTTCCCTGAGCCATGGAGTCATAGATGAGTTTGCAGGTCTTCAGCAAGATGGCAATTTTCTTTTCTGGAGAGTAGGTCTTGTGCATGGTTGTGAACTTGTGAAGGATCTTTTCCAGCACAGCAGTTTCAGGCACACTGGTTGTGACACCCAGGTCAGTGGTAGTTGTGTTTTGTATCACAAGTTGGTTCTCTTTCAGCTGCTGTAAAGATCCATCTTTGCTGTGTATTTCTTTTAAGGAAGAATTAATGGCTTCCTTTAAAGGTTTCAGGACACATTTGTACAAAGCTGTCTCAGCAATCACTTCTGCACAGAGAAGGAAGAACACAAAAGCATATAATAAATAAGCAATCCAGTAGTACAGGTGCAAGTAAAAGTCCTAAGGAAACGTGGTTGGTTATTCAAACACTACTACATAGCTGTGAGAAGGGAACAGAAATCACATCCCAGAAAGTAAACATTTCATTACCAACACTATCCAGAAGTCCTAGATGGGCTTGAGATGAGCATCAGTGTGTGGTCTCTGTCACTGGAGCTGTAGGAGACCTCCTGCTACCAGCAGTCCCTGCTCTCTCTGCCTGACTCCTGGCTGACCAGCATGGCATTGCCAGGCAGCAGGAAAGCCAACTCTGGGGAAAGAAGAGGAATCTCACCTAACTGTGATTTTTTTATCAGCCCTGCCCTTACAGATGCCCAGATGCAATTCATCTCATGTCCCTTCTGACCTCTCCTTCTGACTTTTTTGAGATATTCAGTTTGGGATGAAAATAATTGCACCCTCAAAGCACCCCTTTCTTTCCTCAAAGCAGCTGCACCCACCAGCTCAGAGACAGAAACTAATATCTGGTCAGAAGTGCCTCCTTGTTACTGCTCAAGGGACTCTGAATTACTGATCCTATAAGATACATCTTACGCCACCTGTGGCCTGTGGAGGAGGAAATAATATGAGTGGGTTGAGAATTTGCTTAATGTTTGGCTGAAGAGGAAAGGAAGCATAAGAGACTGTGAGGAAGCCTGTTGTCTGAGTCCTAGGAACCAGAGGCAGAACTAGAGGGACTGCAAGAGATTCTCTTGTTGCACTGAGGCAAAAAGGTCATTAGCAGAAGAGTTCATCTGCTCAGGCAGTGAGGAATGAACCAGAGGGCAGTAATATTTATGTGTTCAAAATGCAATTATTTTAAAGAATCCAGAGAATCAATCAGCCTGAAGCAGGGCAAATTCAAGTGGTACATCCTTCAGTGGGAATCCTTGTCCTCCACAGAAGAGGACAGCCCTGTCAAGGTTGACTGGGCTACATCACTCTGTCAAGGAGCTGGCAGTGAACAGGGTTAGACACAGGGCCAAAACCAGGCATGTCTGTGGGAAGGTGGTGGGATACTTGCACACAAACATCTCTACCAAGCAGAACAGGGACACTTCTTTCCTCCCCCTTTCCACTTTCACTAATCAAGATTCAAGACAGACTTCTCTGTGCTGCCCCCACACCCCCCACCTAGAAGGAGGTTATTGGGACAAAGACTGAAGGTGTTACACAAGATGCATGAGAAATGAAACTGCAGGTTCCCTCTCTGTGATGTGGCAGGTGCTGGCTGCAGGTCTGTTCTGCTGAAGGATCATGTGAAGCCTTTGCTGGGGGAGAAGGAAATCAGCAGAGCCTGCTGAGACTGACAGTGGGCAGCCTTTTACTCCTGGCTCACCACTTAGCTGAGTCCCACCTAATACTGGAGCTGCAGGATCCCCTGGAATCCCTGGTCACTCCTCTGGTTCGCTCCATATTCTGGGTCTTCCAGCTCCCAGCTTGTTTTAATCCAACTTAAGGATCCACAAATAGCTCTGCATTGCTTCTCAGGTCCTCAAGAAACAGTTTTAAGCTTTCAAAGGAGCATGTGTGCACATGCATGCACACTTTTTCTGGCTGTACAGCTTTCACTGGGATGAAAAGTCCTACAGCTCTTTTTATATTCCCTCATGGATGTACAATAAACAGACCAGTCCAATCCTTAGCAAGGAGAGAAGTAGCCCATTATTCTTTCCCAGGATATGAATGAAAAGCAATGGAACACCTGTAAACAGTTAAAAATAACATTTTTTCTCCCCAAAGGCAAATTATACCTATGGCAAAGACATGAACACTTCATTTTGGAGCTGGCAATAGTCTTGCAACAGACATTTCTTCTGTACCTCTGAGCTCTGAGGAACACAAAGTGGAATCAAGTGATTCCTCCAACCTGCTACTCAAAATTATCCTAGTCTTGTCCCTCCCTGTGAGACAATGGTGTATGCCACATGCAGGGAGTTCTCCATCCTATTAGCAAAGCAGTGGATGTGGAAGGACATGGGAATGCAGTGGTGAAGGAAAAAGTTTGCCTTTTGTGTTTCCAGTGAATTCAGCTCTGTGTACACACACACACACACACGTATATAATATATACACACATACATGTAGGTCTCTCATACACTCATCTCTTTTGCTTAAACTCTTGCCCTTAAAACATTCATAAAGGGATTTTCCCCCTCATTGGTCTCCAGGTTTTTGAGCTGTTCCTCCAAGTGCTGGCAACCACAGAGCAGACTTCAATTTATGCTGCTCAAGTTTCAGGGGATGGTTTATAATTCTGTAAAGCAGAGCCTGTGTCTGCATAATTCTTTCTCCCTCCTCACCTTCCTAAGCCATGCCCAAGGATGAATAAACCACAGTTACCTACCTAACTGTTCCTCTGTGTAGGAGGCTGGGTCTATCAGGGATTTCAGCTCAGTGCTCTGCACTAAGTAACTCTTCAGCTGAGTCATCATCAGCCGGATCTCCTGTAGCATCTCTGTGCTGGAGCTCTGCTTTGCCATCATCTCCAAACTGTACACTCTGTAGTCCCGCACCAGGTTGCCAAAGTAGGACTCCTTGTCCTGTGCCAGCTCCACTATCTTCTTCTGCAGCTTCCTGTCGCTAGACAAAAAGACTGTGAAGACGTTGGACAGGTTCACCAAGGACAGCCTGTTTTTGGCCTTGGCCAAGATCACGGAGCGTGTCTTTTTACCAGATGAACCACTCAGCATCTCCAGGTCATCCTCTGTGCTGCTGGTGGAGTAGGAGTCTGGCTCAGATGTTGATGCCTGAGCCACGGTGCTGCCTCCCAGGTCCTCCAGGGACAAGTGTGACCCTGCCAGTTCAGCTGAGCCGACAGATTTGTGGCTGTGTCCCGGCTCAGTCTTGGTGTGTGTGGAAGTGGCAGCACCCGTCCCTGTGGCTGGGCTGCCCTTGCACACAGCCGGCCCTGCAGCCACACCAGTCTCTCCCGCTGTTCTTTGCTTCGGCTGGCAGGAGCTGGGGGTCCTCGGTACCTGGGAAATTCTCTTCCTTCTCGGTGGTGGGACAGGAGGTGACTTTCCTTTCTCAGTGGCATTGCTTTGTATCTTAGGCATGTCCTCCTTCTTCTCTGTAGGTTCAGGCTTTGTCTCCTGAAACTGTGATACAGCCTTTTTGGGAACCTCCCCAGGTATCTCTACAGACTTTTTGCACAGCAGTGTTTTATCTCTGCTCTCTGCACTTGTGTCTTGGTTTCCTTCTGTCCCTTCCCCTTTCAGCGTTTCACAATTTTCAGGGTTACCCACAGAGCTCTCCTCTGAGGTCCTCTCGCTCGGCCGCCGCCGCGGGGGAGCAGAGGGCTGGGAGCCCTTCCTGGGGCTCCCTGCCACGGGCGCGCTGGCCGAGGAGCTCTGCTTCCTTTCTTCTTTATCGTCACCACCCTCCGTTTGCATTTCCTCGAAACTCTTTCCTAGTGGCTTAATAAGTAGCTTGTTTTCTTCACAGGCAGTCATGGGGTCCTGTGGGAGCTTCAGGGAAGGTTTCTGAATGAGCCCATGAGAGGGTGGAGGGGGCGGAGGACGTCGAGGAGACCTCTTTTCAGTAAGCATGGTGGCAGGGGGCAGTTCAGTGCTCCCAGAGTGGCCTTTAGGAGAAGATACATCTGGAGGACAAGGATTACTGTACTCTTCTATAAAAATAGGATTTACAAACCACAGCCTGTCATTTCCTATTGACAGCTCAATTTCACATGAGCAGTGGTTTGTGCTACTTGCAAAACACTGGGTAGTTCTTAAACTGTCTGCCTGGGCAGTGCTGAAAGCAGAGTCTTTTGCAGGGTGGGATGAGTCCTGTCTCTTGTGGTTTAAGTAGGAATCCCAGAAATCTGTCACCAAAAAAAAAAAAAAAAAAAAAGAAAAAATTTAAAAAAATCTCAGAGAATTTTATATAGTAGAAAATAGAGAATTTTATATAGTAGAAAATATACTTATTTTAAAAAGAAATTATACACAAATTTCAATGTTGAATTTTCAAACCTCTGCACAAAACAGCGTGAAGAAAGAACAAAACTGTTGTATGCATATAAAATTCTTCAAGCCAGGGGATAAGCTCAGAAACTTCACCAGAATTCTCTCCCCTGTCAATTTTAGGACACTTACCTAGTGAAAGTTGTTAATGCTATTCAGCATTTTCAGAGCAGGAAGGTACAAATAACAAATACAAATGACTGTGAGAAGGGATCTATGCTTGTTCAGTGATGACTGCCCTCCAAATGCAAATAGCTGTGGATACACGAGGAGAGGATGTGAAGAGCCCAGGCAAGCTGTGTCTGCCTCTTGCTCACAACTGGTGCTGGCTGGGGAACCATTTTCCTTAAGCTCTCCAGCTGCACTCAGTATCAGCAAATGCAGGACAGAGGAAGTTGTTTTAAGTCAGAATATAATGCTGTGAAGTCTCATGGGCTGAGGAAATGGTGAGTAAACCAATCTACAGAGGGGAAGTTGATAATTTTTCACAGTAGTGGTCAGGTTAAGGCACTGTGATGAAAATGCAAAGCTCCACTCAGGCTGGAAGGAACAGATCCTGTGGTTCTACCAAGTAACACAGCTGCTTCAGAGCAGGCATTTCCCAGCACAGCCACACTGTCTCACACTGCAGAGAAGGCTGTTTGATCATCTCCCATTGCTTTCCTGGATCTTCCCTTATCTTGCACTCTGGGAAGGATAATTAAGCAGTTCTTGGAGTCTTTGGCATGTCTGTGAGGGTATGTGCTCTTTGTGCAGTGCAATTATGCTAATTCTCCTCCTAAAGAACTTCTGTACCACTGAGGTCAGGACTAGAGGGGCTGCAGTATGTCCTCTGTGACAACATACAGAACAGCCAGATACTTTGTGGAACACCTCAGCTTGCAGATAAACATCTTACCTCTATCCCCTTGAAACACATAGTACTTTGAAATAAATACAGAGCAACATATGAGAATTTCAGACAATGCTTTGTTTCCTTCGGAAGTGCCACTTTGGGCAGCACTTAATAGTTTGTGTTCCCATTTGTATCCTCAAAATTTTGTTCCGGGAAGCAATAAACAGCATCTGTCAATAGCTGAGCCTGTCTGACTCCACTAAGACAGCATGGCACTTCAGGAAGCCAGCATCATTTGCCAGGAAGACAGCAGGTTTTCTTCTCTTGTCAGAAACTTGACTGGTATGAAATACACCATGACAAATAAATTTCCAAGCCTCACTACTTTTATGACCACCAGTACAGGAGAAAAGGAAAAAGACTACAACAAATATTGCCTTGGTGCTTGTGCTTTAACTAACCTCTTCTTTCAGAAGTTGCTGGAAACTGTTGCCTGAATCAAGATAGCCTCTGCTGGCTGAAATTAGACTGAAGGTTGCAGATTCATGATACACTTCCTGCATTTTAATCCAAACTTTTGGACTTAATATAAAAAATTAAGTTTAAGATAACAAGTGCAACTTGTTATCTCAACTTGTAAAGTACCTCTTTATCAGCAATAAGTGCTGGCTGGACATGTACATAAAAGGATGTTTTGACAAACTGGAACATACTCAAAATAGAGGATGCTGAAAATGTTAGAGGCAAATCTGTTTGTGATGTTCAACAAAGCTGCCTGAACTGAAACCAGTGGGGTTTGCCCATACCTTCTGGGAGGAAGAAACCCCAAAATAGTGAGTGCTCTAATAAATATCTCTAAATAAGCTAACTCTTAAATTTTCTCCGTTGTTTGGCTGTTTTCAATACCTGAAGGAAAACTGAAAAACCAAGGAGCATGAAAGTGGCTTACTGAAGTAGCTGTTTCAAGTAGAGTGTGTTAAATGAAAAGGAATAGAAAGGAGAGCTCCTTTAGTTAACAGAATTGCTTTTCCTATCTGTGACCTTATACATCTCATCTAAAATTTGCTTGTTTGATGCTGTCACTAAAAATAATGTTCCTTTTGCATGTGATTTGTGTGAGGTGAGAGAACATGTTGGGACGATACAAATTTTTCTACCAACTCGAAATCCTGCAGGAGCAAGCAGAAATATCAAAACTCAAAAATATCACACTTTCATCAGCATTGCCCCCACACATCATAAGGAGAAGCTGCAAAAGGTGTTTTCCATATAGCTCAGATATGAGCCACTTCCAAAGTGCAGAATTACCCCCTGAGGCCGTGCTGCACTTCAGCTCGCCCAGACTGCAGGGACCAACCCTGGATAGAGATCCAGGTGGTTTATGGCCAAAGGGGAAAGTGCCCTTTTTGTCAGCATTCTGCTATGAACATAAAGATCATAAACATCTTCCTCTTGCATTCAGACCCCTTTAGCTATTCCAAAGACAATAGTTTATCAATCATCCAGTTGCATTAAGTCTCTGTAAGGCACTATTGTTCTCACAAGTCCAAGTGAAAATCTGACTGCTTTGAGGGACTTACCTATCCCCAGACTAGAGATAATTTCAAGGTCTTGAAAGCTACTGGCTTCTAATATTGCTTGTGGCAGCTTCAGGGTAAAGGGCAGCAAATCCCTGTAAAAACAAACACAATGAAAAAACAGCAAAAAGACAAACCCCACAATTGTTAGGAACTCCAGGCTTCACTTGGTTTATTGACTGGATTGACTCACAATTTCAGCCGTGTTCTGTGGCTGGTAAGGAATTATGGACATTGTGCCAGACTGGGCTGCTCTGATTTCACTAAAGATCACCAGCTTCATGCCATAGCACTGACTTAATCACTGTGGCTTGGCTCTGTCCTCTGAAAAGGGCAGGAATGCCTCTCACCTCAGGAAAGGCCACAAGGGTTGAATTATCTTCCCATTAAAAGTGAGGTGCTGCAAATTATAATTATTTTTATTAGAAAAGCCAATCTTTTTCTTTTGGAAAGGACTTGAAGTCCTTTCTCTTTCTGTTTACCCCTCTCTCACTACTCTGCTTCCTCTTTTAAAAATCTCTGTAAGTGCAAGGCATGGGCACACAGCAAGGCACAGAGGGACTGGGAAAGGAAAGCCCCAGCTGGGAAAGGGTAACCTCTGGGTGAGGGGACAGACAGGGAGGAAGTGCTGCATGACACTGAGAAAACACATGTCCTTCTCTAACTCTACTCTCAGACTTCTGAGTACTTGGTTTCTGGAAAGATGCTGTCCCTCTACTGAAAATAGAGTTTCTCAGAGGATGTTGGCTGGGTTTCACTGAAACACACCCTAAGTCTCAAGCAATTTAACAGAGCCCTTGGTCTGCCAGTGAACTGTTCAGGTTTGCCTCTTGCCCAGTGACAATTTGCTAACCCTGTTCTTGCCTCAATTCCCATTCCAACAAGGACTAGAAAAGCCAGTCCCTAAATGATAGCAAGGAATGGTGCAGGATCATCTTACACATGCAAAGTTTTACAAAATGTTCTTCATGGTACAAGGGATTGTTATAGAAAAAAACTGGCCTTGTGAGTAGGAGGTCTCTGCTAAACAAATGCACACCCAAAAAAGCACACGACTCAGACCTATCTGCTGACAGATGAATGCAG